TAAGAAGTACTGTAAATGTATAAGAAGTACTGAGCTTGTAAAAAAAGTACCGTACATGTATAAGAAGTACCGTACATGTATAAGAAGAACCGTACATGCATAAGGAAGAACCCTACATGTATAAGAAGAACTGAGCATGTATAAGAAGTACTGTACATGTATAAGAAGTACTGAGCATGTATAAGAAGTACTGTACATGTATAAGAAGTACTGTAAATGTATAAGAAGTACTGAGCATGTACAAGAAGTACCGTCGATGTATAAGAAGTACTGAGCATGTATAAGAAGTACCGTCGATGTATAAGAAGTACTGAGCTTGTATAAGAAGTACTGTACATGTATAAGAAGTACTGTACATGTATAAGAAGTACCGTCGATGTATAAGAAGTACTGAGCTTGTATAAGAAGTACTGTACATGTATAAGAAGTACTGTATATGTATAAGAAGTACTGAGCATGTATAAGAAGTACTGAGCATGTATAAGAAGTACTGAGCATGTATAAGAAGTACTGTACATGTATAAGAAGTTCTGTATATGTAACAGAAGTACTGTACATGTATAAGAAGTACTGTATATGTATAAGAAGTACTGAGCATGTATAAGAAGTACTGTACATGTATAAGAAGTACTGTATATGTATAAGAAGTACTGAGCATGTACAAGAAGTACCGTCGATGTATAAGAAGTACTGAGCATGTATAAGAAGTACCGTCGATGTATAAGAAGAGCTGAGCATGTATTAGAAGTACTGTACATGTATAAGAAGGAACGTACATGTATAAGAAGTACTGAGTATGTATAAGAAGTACCGTACATGTATAAGAAGTACCGTACATGTATAAGAAGAACCGTACTTGCATAAGAAGAACCGTACATGTATAAGAAGTACTGAACATGTGTAAGAAGTACTGTACATGTATATGAAGAACTGTACATGTATAAGAAGTAGTGTACATGTATAAGAAGTACTGTACATGTATAAGAAGTACTGTACATGTATAAGAAGTACTGTAAATGTATAGGAAGTACCGTACATGAATAAGAAGTACTGTACATGTATAAGAAGTACTGTATATGTAGAAAAAGTACTGAGCATGTATAAGAAGTAATGTACATGTATAAGAAGTACCGTACATGTATAAGAAGTACTGTACGTGTATAAGAAGAACCGTACATGTATAAGAAGTACTGAGCACGTATAAGAAGAACCGTACATGTATAAGGAGTACTGAGTATGTATTAGAAGTACCGTATATGTATAAGAAGTACTGAGCTTGTATAAGAAGTACTGTACATGTATAAGAAGTACTGTATATGTATAAGAAGTACTGATCATGTATAAGAAGTACTGATCATGTATAAGAAGTACTGTATATGTATAAGAAGTACTGTACATGTATAAGAAGTACTGTATATGTATAAGAAGTACTGAGCATGTATAAGAAGTACTGTACATTTATAAGAAGTACTGTATATGTATAAGAAGTACTGAGGATGTACAAGAAGTACCCTCGATGTATAAGAAGTACTGAGCATGTATAAGAAGTACTGTACATGTATAAGAAGTACTGAGCATGTATATGAAGTACTGAGCGTGTATAAGAAGTACTGTACATGTATAAGAAGTACTGTAAATGTATAAGAAGTACTGAGCTTGTAAAAAAAGTACCGTACATGTATAAGAAGTACCGTACATGTATAAGAAGTACTGTACATGTATAAGAAGTACCGTACATGTATAAGAAGTACTGTACATGTATAAGAAGAACCGTACTTGCATAAGAAGAACCGTACATGTATAAGAAGAACTGAGCATGTATAAGAAGTACTGTACATGTATAAGAAGTACTGAGCATGTATAAGAAGTACTGAGTATGTATAAGAAGTACTGAGCTTGTATAAGAAGTACTGTACATGTATAAGAAGTACTGTAGATGTAGAAGAAGTACTGATCATGTATAAGAAGTACTGATCATGTATAAGAAGTACTGTATATGTATAAGAAGTACTGTACATGTATAAGAAGTACTGTATATGTATAAGAAGTACTGAGCATGTATAAGAAGTACTGTACATGTAGAAGAAGTACTGTATATGTATAAGAAGTACTGAGGATGTACAAGAAGTACTGAGGATGTACAAGAAGTGCTGAGCATGTATAAGAAGTACTATACATGTATAAGATGTACTATACATGTATAAGAAGTACTGAGCATGTATAAGAAGTACTGAGCATGTATAAGAAGTACTGTACATGTATAAGAAGTACTGTAAATGTATAAGAAGTACTGAGCTTGTAAAAAAAGTACCGTACATGTATAAGAAGTACCGTACATGTATAAGAAGTACCGTACATGTATAAGAAGTACCGTACATGTATAAGAAGAACCGTACTTGCATAAGAAGAACCGTCCATGTATAAGAAGAACTGAGCATGTATAAGAAGTACTGTACATGTATAAGAAGTACTGAGCATGTATAAGAAGTACTGAGTATGTATAAGAAGTACTGAGCTTGTATAAGAAGTACTGTACATGTATTAGAAGTACTGTATATGTATAAGAAGTACTGATCATGTATAAGAAGTACTGATCATGTATAAGAAGTACTGTATATGTATAAGAAGTACTGTGCATGTATAAGAAGTACTGTATATGTATAAGAAGTACTGAGCATGTATAAGAAGTACTGTACATTTATAAGAAGTACTGTATATGTATAAGAAGTACTGAGCATGTACAAGAAGTACCCTCGATGTATAAGAAGTACTGAGCATGTATAAGAAGTACTATACATGTATAAGAAGTACTGAGCATATATATGAAGTACTGAGCATGTATAAGAAGTACTGTACATGTATAAGAAGTACTGTAAATGTATAAGAAGTACTGAGCTTGTAAGAAATGTACCGTACATGTATAAGAAGTACCGTACATGTATAAGAAGAACCGTACTTGCATAAGAAGAACCGTACATGTATAAGAAGAACTGAGCATGTATAAGAAGTACTGTACATGTATAAGAAGTACTGAGCATGTATAAGAAGTACTGAGTATGTATAAGAAGTACTGAGCTTGTATAAGAAGTACTGTACATGTATAAGAAGTACTGTATATGTATAAGAAGTACTGATTATGTATAAGAAGTACTGTATATGTATAAGAAGTACTGTATATGTATAAGAAGTACTGTACATGTATAAGAAGTACTGTATATGTATAAGAAGTACTGAGCATGTATAAGAAGTACTGTACATGTAGAAGAAGTACTGTATATGTATAAGAAGTACTGAGGATGTACAAGAAGTACCCTCGATTTATAAGAAGTACTGAGCATGTATAAGAAGTACCGTCGATGTATAAGAAGAACTGAGCATGCATAAGAAGTACTGTACATGTATAAGAAGAACCGTACATGTATAAGAAGAACTGAGCATGTATAAGAAGAACTGAGCATGTATAAGAAGTACTGTACATGTATAAGAAGAACCGTTCATGTATAAGAAGTACTGTACATGTATAAGAAGTACTGAGCATGTATAAAAAGTACTGAGCATGTATAAGAAGTACTGAGCATGTATAAGAAGTACCGTACATGTATAAGAAGAACCGTACATGTATAAGAAGTACTGTACATATATAAGAAGTACTGTACATGTATAAGAAGTACTGAGCATCTATAAGAAGTACCGTACATGTATAAGACGTACTGAACATGTATAAGAAGTACTGTACATGCATAAGAAGTACTCACCGTGAGATATCCGAGGTGTATCGGCGAACACACCTACAGTCTCACTGTGAGATACGAGGTGTATCGACCAACACACCTACAGTCTCACCGTGAGGTTTCCGACGTGTATCGGCCAACACCTACAGTCTCTGCGTGAGATATCCGAGGTGTATCGGCCAACACACCTACAGTCTCACCGTGAGGTATCCGACGTGTATCGGCCAACACACCTAGAGTCTCGTCGTGAGGTATCCGAGGTGTATCGGCCAACACACCTAGAGTCTCACCGTGATATATCCGAGGTGTATCGGCCAACACACCTACCGTCTCACCGTTAGATATCCGAGGTGTATCGGCCAACACACCTACAGTCTCACCGTGAGGTATCCGACGTGTATCGGCCAACACACCTAGAGTCTCACTGTGAGATATCCGAGGTGTATCGACCAACACACCTACAGTCTCACTGTGAGGTATCCGAGGTGTATCGGCGAACACACCTACAGTCTCACCGTGAGGTTCCCGACGTGTATCGGCCAACACACCTAGAGTCTCACTGTGAGATATCCGAGGTGTATCGACCAACACACCTAGAGTCTCACTGTGAGGTATCCGAGGTGTATCGGCGAACACACCTACAGTCTCACCGTGAGGTTCCCGACGTGTATCGGGCAACACCTACAGTCTCACCGTGAGAAATCCGAGGTGTATCGGCCAAGACACCTAGAGTCTCGTCGTGAGGTATCTGAGGTGTATCGGCCAACACACCTAGAGTCTCGTCGTGAGGTATCCGAGGTGAATCGGCCAACACACCTAGAGTCTCGTCGTGAGGTATCCGAGGTGTATCGGCCAACACACCTAGAGTCTCGTCGTAGGGTAACCGAGTTGTATCGGCCAACACACTTCTAGTCTCATGGTGAGATATCCGAGTTGTATCGGCCAACACACCTAGAGTCCCGTCGTGAGGTATCCGAGGTGAATCGGCCAACACACCGTTAGATTTGTCGGTGGGTCTCTGTGGCGCCCCGAAAAGATAATAGTATGCATTTGGCGTTAACGCTAGAATAGTGCTGATGTGGCGTAATATATAATTCATTCCCCCACTACAACACTATGTCTGACATACGATTGTTGATGGTTGAAGAACGACTGTCACTTGGTGATTTTGATGTCATCGTGCTCCGACGACGTGGTACGTGCGCATGATATCAACCACTGGTTTTACTGTATTCACATAATACCGACACAATTAGAAACAAAAACAAACACGGCTTATTCCATTTATTGCCCCTCCCGAGTGGATGTCTAAATCTCCGCGATGAATTCGGGGGGTGACGGGGATTTAATTGCCTCCACAAACTGCTCTACAACGGCAACTTTCTCCGCCATGCATCTACCGTCATTCCAACGGACGATGTTGAAGTAGCCGCAGATGCCGTAGTGGTTCCATGACTGTGCGCCGGGAATGTTCACACGGGTGCCGTTCACGTCGCAGGAGTATTGGTTAATGTAGCTCCCCTCCCACTCTGACTTGTAGCGGTACAGGTCGATCATGTAGCCCTGTGGTGTTAAATCTGACTTGAAATAGTCATTCATCAGATATACGTATTATTTAACATTGAACATTAATTCAATACCGCTTTGAAAAGAGGGAATAGGTGTTACAGTATGTCAACGTAGATCTTGTAATGTGTTCTCAGGTACTCGGATTCTGGGCTAGCTTGGCCTGGGTTCTGGGGTCCCTGGGTTCTGGGGTACTCGGGTTCTGGGGTACTCGGAATCTGGGGTACCCCGGTTCTGGGGTACTTGGGTTCTGGGGTCCCTGGGTTCTGGGGTACTTGGGTTCTGGGGGACCCAGGTTCTGGGGTACTTGGGTTCTGGGGTACTTGGGTTCTGGGGTACTCGGGTTCTGGGGTACTCGGGTTCTGGGGTACTTGGGTTCTTGGGTCCCTGGGTTCTGGGGTCCCTGGGTCCCTGGGTTCTGGGGTACTTGGGTTCTCGGGTCCCTGGGTTCTGGGGTACTTGGGTTCTGGGGTACTCGGGTTCTGGGGTACTCGGATTCTGGGAAACCCGGGTTCTTGGGTACTCGGGTTATAGGGTACTCGGGTTCTGGGGTACTCGGGTTATAGGGTACTCAGGGTCTGGGTTACTCGGGTATTAGGGTACTCGGAGAATTGGGTACTCGGGTTCTGGGGTACTTGAGGTACTCGGGTGGTCCGAAACCTGTGAGTTTCAATAAAAAGGTAGACGTCTTAAAGCGTCCACCGCTTCAGGCTTTCCTTCCACATTAAGCTGGCACACCGTTATGTGACTGAAATACTGTTCAAAGCGGCGTTCAACTAAACTCACTGACTCATTCATTTCTTCTGCGTGTGAAGGCCTGCTTGGTCTAGTGGAAAGAATTTCTGACCGAAGAGTGGATTGTCGGTGGTTCAATCCCCAGCCTCACCATTCAAAACGATGGCATCAGACCTTGCCCTGCCTGCTGCTTGGCATCAAATGAGGTGTCAAACAAGGACTGGCCGCCTCGGTGCATTATCACGATGCTATCTCCATATTATATGTACGCATCTAACAACCTTTTTAAACGAACGCTTCATAAATATATTCTGTGAGTGAGTGAGTTTGGTTTTACGCCGCTTTTAGCAATATTCCAGCAATATCACAGCGGGGGACACCAGAAATGGGCTTCACACATTGTATCCATGTCGGGAATCGAGCCCGGGTCTTTGGCGTGACGAGCGAACGCTTTAACCACTAGGCTACCCGACCGCCCATTGATAATCTATGTTAAAGTATGGGAGTATGGGAGTGACGATCGTCTCAGCGCCTCGACTGCTTTGTTTCCGCCGTGGGTGGAAACTACGGGGAACGCTAAGAAAGTGGCATTAAAGCCATGCTGTGTAAGGATAAGATTTTGGGATGAACAACTTCTTTATTAGAATTAGGAGTGACGTTTCGGTGCAGGTTCTAACACCGTTATCAAGCAAATCATCTTCTTTGGGAGGCATTTAGATTGCTTGGTCGTTTTGCTGTTTAACGCCGCACTCAGCAATATTCCAGCTATATGACGGTGGTCTGTAAATAATCGAGTCTGGACCAGAAAATCCAATGATTTACAACATGAACATCAATCCACACAATTGGGATCGATGACATGCATCAACCAAGTCAGCGAGCCTGACCACCCGATCCCGTTAGTCGCCTCTTACGACAAGCATAGTCGCCTTTAACGGCAAGCATGGGTTGCTGAAGACCTATTCTACCCCGGAATCTTCATGGGTAAGGCATTTAGAAGTTGGGGTACAAAGTAGGGATAAGATATATGGATGAACAATTTCTGTACTACATTCAGAAGCTTGATAACGGTGTAAGAACCTACGCCGAAACGTCGCCCCATATTGTTACAAAGTTGTTCATCCATATATCTTATCCTTACTTAGTACTCCTCAAACTAAATGCCTCTCAAAGAAGGTATTGAAACCACGATTAAAAAATCCGGATATTTGTTAATCTGGACCATTTTTATGGGAACGCTAGCGTCCGTACGAGGTTTTACCACATATAAACAGTAGGATTTATTTTGGTTTGTTGTTTTACGCCGCACTCAGCAATATTCCAGCTATATGACAGCGGTCTGTAAATAATAGAGTCTGGACCAGACAATCCAATGATTGACATCATGAACATCAATCCACACAATTGGGATCGATGTCATGCATCAACCAAGTCAGCGAGCCTGACCACCCGATCCCGTTAGTCGCCTTTTACGACAAGCATAGTCGCCTTTTACGGCAAGCATGGGTTGCTGAAGACCTATTCTATCCCGGATCTTCACGGGTCTATAAACAGTAGGATCATGGCCATACCTTGAATGCGAACCATCCTCCCGGCGTGGCGCTGCAGTCCATGTCGATGTCCACCGCCCAATAGCTGCCCCCCTCCGTGTTCAGCTCCCAGTACCCAGCGCCGTCGGTGTCGACGTTGGTGGAGAAGGACCTGAGACAAACATGGCGACTTGAATTGTGTGCTCCGAGGATTTGGTTTTACTCTTTTCGTATGTGTCTCATTTAGTGTGTGGCCCTGTTGTACGTCCCTTTATCTCCAAGCTCACCTCGTGAGTGAGTGTTTCTCAACGCAAAAATAATTTTGTTGTTTTGTTATTTAACGTGGCGTTCAGCAATATTCCAACTATATGACCGCGGTCTGTAAATAGTCGAGTCTGGATTAGACAATCTGGTGACGGATATTGTGGGCAACCGCCTCCGTGGTCTAGTGGTACAGCGTCCGCCCGGAAAGCGGATGGTCCGGGCTTCGATCCCCGGCCGTGTCATACCAAAAGACATTAACAAATGGCTCGGCATTAAGGGGCTATAACAAGGACTGGTCGACTCGGAGTCAGTATACTGTCTGAGCTGGGTATTCATGTTAAACTGCGGCATGGTATCTCAGTGAGCAGTTATACATCGGCATCAGTCCGGACTAGTGCAAGCAGCCACACAAACACACACACGCATGTCGCTCTATAAGTGCAATAATCTTGGACGCGACTTTAAACCCCATTTCCCCTCACCTCATATTGTGAGCAACGATCCACTCCGTCACAGGACTGACCACCCGATCCATTATGTCGCTCTTACGACAGGCATAAATTGCTGGGGACCGTTTCTAACCAGCGATCCCCACGGGGTAACACCGAAACAAGCAATACGGATTTATGCAATATATTCGAGTCTGGATCAGGCACACCATCAGTGTGCGATGTCACACTTACAATGGAACCCGACTGACTCCCTGACTGACTCCCTGACTGACTCCCTGACTGACTCCCTGACTGACTCACTGACTGACTCACTGACTCACTGACTGACTCAAAGACTGACTCAAAGACTGACTGACACTCTCTGGCTGACTCACTCTCTGGCTGACTCACTCTCTGGCTGACTCACTCAGTCACTCACTCTCTGACTGACTGACTGACTCACTCACTCACTTACTCTCTGGCTGACTCACTCTCTGGCTGACTCACTCACCCTCTGGCTGGCTCACTCTCTGGCTGACTCACTCACTCTCTGGCTGACTCACTCACTCACTCAATCACTCTCTGGCTGACTCACTCTTTGGCTGACTCACTCACTCACTCACTCACTCTCTGGCTGACTCACTCTCTGGCTGACTCACTCACTCTCTGGCTGACTCACTCACACTCTGGCTCACTCACTCACACTCTGGCTGGCTCACTCTCTGGCTGACTCACTCTCTGACTGACTCACTCACTCTCTGGCTGACTCACTCACTCACTCACTCTCTGGCTGACTCACTCACTCTCTGGCTGACTCACTCACTCTCTGGCTGACTCACTCTCTGGCTGACTCACTCTCTGGCTGACTCACTCTCTGGCTGACTCACTCACACTCTGGCTGACTCACTCACACTCTGGCTGACTCACTCACTCTCTGGCTGACTCACTCACTCACTCACTCTCTGGCTGACTCACTCACTCACTCTCTGGCTGACTCACTCTCTGGCTGACGCCACCCACTCTCTTGCTGACTAACTTACTCTCTGGCTGACTCACTCACTCTCTGGCTGACTCACTCACTCACTCACTCTCTGGCTGACTCACTCACTCTCTGGCTGACTCACTCTCTGGCTGACTCACTCACACTCTGGCTGACTCACTCAAACTCCGGCTGGCTCACTCTCCGGCTGACTCACTCTCTGGCTGACTCACTCACTCTCTGGCTGACTCACTCACTCTCTGGCTGGCTCACTCACACTCTGGCTGGCTCACTCTCTAGCTGACTCACTCACTCTCTGGCTGACTCACTAACTCACTCACTCTCTGGCTGACTCACTCACTCTCTGGCTGACTCACTCACACTCTGGCTGACTCACTCACACTCTGGCTGACTCACTCACACTCTGGCTGACTCACTCTCTTGCTGACTCACTCACACTCCGGCTGACTCACTCTCTGGCTGACTCACTCACTCTCTGGCTGACTCACTCTCTGGCTGACTCACTCACACTCTGGCTGACTCACTCACTCACTCACTACTCTCTGGCTGACTCACTCTCTGGCTGACTCACTCACTCACTCTCTGGCTGACTCACTCTCTGGCTGACTCACTCACTCTCCTGCTGACTCACTCTCTGGCTGACGCCACCCACTCTCTGGCTGACTCACTCTCTGGCTGACTCACTCACTCTCTGGCTGACTGACTCACTCACTCACTCACTCTCTGGCTGACTCACTCACTCTCTGGCTGACTCACTCACACTCTGGCTGACTCACTCACTCACTCACTCACTCTCTAGCTGACTCACTCACTCACTCACTCACTCTCTGGCTGACTCACTCACTCTCTGGACGACTCACTCACTCACTCACTATCTGGCTGACTCACTCTCTGGCTGACTCACTCACTCTCTGGCTGACTCACTCACACTCTGGCTGACTCACTCACACTCTTGCTGACTCACTCTCTGGCTGACTCACTCTCTTGCTGACTCACTCACACTCCGGCTGACTCACTCTCTGGCTGACTCACTCACTCTCTGGCTGACTCACTCACTCTCTGGCTGACTCACTCACACTCTGGCTGACTCACTCACTCACTCACTCACTCACTCTCTGGCTGACTCACTCTCTGGCTGACTCACTCTCTGGCTGACTCACTCGTTCTCTGGCTTACTCACTCTCTGGCTGACTCACTCACTCTCTGGCTGACTGACTGACTCACTGACTCACTCACTCGATTCACCTACTCATCATTCGTTGTCCACATCATCGGTGTCCCCTCGGCCGACCGCACTATTCCTCCTTTTCGATAAACCCCCTGTCCGTTTTCGTAGGACGACCAAGTTAACGTAGCGTCACCCTTGGACGTCTGAGCAAAAAACGACGTTTTGTCAACTGGTCGGACATTGTGCCTGATGGGAATCCTTCGTCCACTCGTAGATCCGCCCCGAAGAAACATATATTCCCCTTGTGTAGTTGGCCTTTCTATAGCTATGATAGTCCTCTTGAAATCTTGGGCAACGGTAAGGGCACAGCCTCCCAACAACAACAAGACGAAGGTATCTGTCATTTTCGATCTGGAAAGTGTGAACACGTGTGGTTTCCTCAACTATTTATATAGCAACGTGTCACCTTGACCTTCGACAAAGGTGTATGACGTTCAGAACTTGCGCAACCCAAAACGTGGCGTGATGGCTTTTAGTGAATAATTTAATCCTATTAAATATCCAAACGTTGAAATTCAATAAAGGTACATGTAATAGGTTTATATACACAGGATAATGATGGAATATTTAAGTGCAAATGCACAGACCTCCGCCCGCCCGTCCGCGTCAGAAACTGATCAGAGCGAATAACCCAGGTTTTTTTCCTCGGGAACAGAGACGCTGATAAAACCTTTAATTTTTTATCCCTGTGGGCATCAGCCATACACATATATAAGTTACGAGCAGTAGCGAGGCAGTGGTTGTCGTGTCGTGAAGCGTACGTTCGGCGCCGAAAACCGGGTTTTTTTACTGTGTGAAGCCCATTTCTCATATGTTGTTGGAATATTGTTTAACCTGCTAAAAACACCGTCATCACGAATACAATGTAAACCACTGTCTTATGGGGGTGGCGCTTGTCCAGCAATATCACGCCGGGGGACCCCAGAAATGGGCTTCACGAATTTTCCCCATGAAGAGAATCGAACCCGGGTCTTCGGCGTGACGAGGGAACGCTTTAACCACTAGGCTACCCGACCGCCCGAACGTAAGCCTAAACTCCATAAACGCAAAAACATACTGAAGTCAATTCCTAAATGGTCATTACCCAAATGAGTGATGTTTCATAATCTAGACAGACCTGTGAAGATTCGGGGTCTTCAGCAACCATTGCGCTGGCCGTAAAAGGCGACTATGCTTGTCGTAAGAGGCGGCTAACGGGATCGGGTGGTCAGGCTCGCTGATTTGGTTGATTCATATCATCGATCCCAATAGCGTTGTCGATGCATTCACGTTTTGAAATAGCTGACAGTTCGAATAGAAACTAGTCACATCGCACTGTTTCCTTATATCTTACAGTACACTAAGGCCACATTCGTTCAAATAACTAAAATAATCGGTTGATCCCCTTAAGGCAGGGCAAATAGCCTAGTGGTTAAAGCATTCGATTGTCACGCCCAACACACGGGTTCGATTCCCCACATGGGTACAGTGTCTGAATCTAATTTCTGGTGACCCCCGCCGTTATATTGTGTTAGTGCATAATACATAGAAGTTATCACGCGAGTGTGATTGGGGATGGTAAATATCCTGCATTAGGAATACACATTGTATTTAGCGAGCCTTGGGCGAGCTGAGTACATAGTATTTATTCCTAATACATGATATTTACCATCCCCAAATACACAAGCGTGATAACCTCTTTATCATATAATGTCATTCTTTCATTCTGTGCTTCAAAACCCCTTTCCTCTCTCATAAACATTACCGAAACATTGCGAGTTTTCCTGGAATGCGCGCATTAATATTTATTACGTCACAGGGTAAGTGATGTGTCAGTCGGACAGTGACAGTAGCCAATATAGTTCCAACTGAAATCTGTTTCTTATACAGTGGCGAAGAGGAGAGAACTAATACGGAATTTGAGCGGACTTATATGGGGTTTGAGCGGACTTATACGGGATTTGAGCAGACTTATACGAGATTAGAGCGGAAGAATACGGGATTTGAGCGTACATATACGGGATTTGAGCATACATTATACGGGATTTGAGCGGACTTATACGGAATTGGAGCGGACTAATACGGGATTTGAGCGGACTATAACTGGGTTTGAGCGGACTTATACGAGATTTGAGCGGACTATTATGGGACTTGAGAGGACTTATACGGAATTTGAGCGGACTAATACGGGATTTGAGCGGACTAATACGAGATTTGAGCGCACTAATACGGGATTTGAGCGGACTTATACGGGATTTGAGTGGACAAATACGAGATTTGAGCGGAATAATACGGGATTTGAGCGGACTTATACGGGATTTGAGCGGACTAATACGAGATTTGAGCGCACTAATACGGGATTTGAGCGGACTTATACGGGATTTGAATTGGACTAATACGAGATTTGAGCGGAATAATACGGGATTTGACCGGACTTATACGGGATTTGAGCGGACTAATACGAGATTTGAGCGGACTAATACGGGATTTGAGCCGACTTATACGGGATTTGAGAGGACTATTACGGAATTTGAGCGGACTAATACGGGATTTGAGCGGACTAATACGAGATTTGAGCGCACTAATACGGGATTTGAGCAGGCTAACACGGGGTTTGAGCAGAAGAATACGGGATTTGAGCGTACTTATACGGGATTTGAGCGTACATTATACGGGATTTGAGCGGACTTATACAGAATTTGAGCGGACTAATACGGGATTTGAGCAGACTAATACGGAATTTGAGCGGACTTATACGGGATTTGAGCGGACTATAACTGGGTTTGAGCAGACTTATACGAGATTTGAGCGGACTATTATGGGATTTGAGAGGACTAATACGGAATTTGAGCGGACTAATACGAGATTTGAGCGGACTAATACGAGATTTGAGCGCACTAATACGGGATTTGAGCGGACTTATACGGGATTTGAGTGGACTAATACGGGATTTGAGCGGACTAATACGGGATTTGAACGGTCTAATACGGGATTTGAGCCGACTTATACGAGATTTGAGAGGACTAATACGAGATTTGAGCGCACTAATACGGGATTTGAGCCGACTTATACGGGATTTGGGAGGACTAATACGGAATTTGAGCGGACTAATACGGGATTTGAGCGGTCTAATACAGCATTTGAGCCGACTTATACGGGATTTGAGAGGACTAATACGGAATTTGAGCGGACTAATACGGGATTTGAGCTGACTAATACGGGATTTGAGCGCACTAATACGGGATTTGAGCGGACTTATACGGGATTTGAGCAGACTAATACGAGATTTGAGCGGAATAATACGGGATTTGAGCGGACTTATACGGGATTTAAGCGGACTAATACGAGATTTGAGCGGAATAATACGGGATTTGAGCGGAATTATACGGGATTTGAGCGGACTAATACGAGATTTGAGCGGACTTATACGGGATTTGAGCCGACTTATACGGGATTTGAGCGGACTTATACGGTACTGAGCGGACTTATACGGGATTTGAGCGGACTTATAAGGGATTTATGCGGACTTATCAGGGATTTGAGCGGACTTATACAGGATTTGAGACGATGGACTGCGGGCACTGTGTGGAGTGACCAATTTCAATTTGTATGAATTTTCTTGATCCATGTGACTGGTACTATTGGGAAACATATAGGTTAGGTAGCTTAATAATAAATATGTCTTTAAATGGGTTTTAAAACTGCCCCGACTGTGTTGCAAAACGAATATATTTCTGAAAGTTTTTTTTTGCTTTCTTTTTTTTACCCTTCGACAAAAGACACGCAATGCGGATATTTTGGGCCATTAAAGCAAAATTACCGGACCAAGAGGTGCAAAATGAGAGAGATTTAATGTGTTATAGCGTCAGTGACGAATTTTCCGGATCAAAATTATCACAACAAGGACATGCAAACCATTAGTCGGGAAACACGTACGATTCGGAAAACGCAACCAGTGCATTAACAAAAGGGTCATGGATCTGCGAGCACTGCACGTGCATCAGCACTATGAACGGTATTAAAGTCCAGGGTTCTTAAACTGCCGTGCATCTGCGTCAATCGAACAGTGACAGTTCAACAACATGTCAAGATTAACAGAAGTGCAACGAAACAACCTCATAGGCCGCTTGCAGGCAGGGGGATCCTGATCAGCTGTAGCCAGGGTTTTCAATGTAGCGCCCAGCACATCACAAGGCTATGGGATCGGGTTCAACAGCATGGGTCAACACGTGATCGACCAAGGTCGGGACGAACAAGAGTAAACACCCCCGCCCAAGATCGCTACATCCGACTACGCCATCTACGTGAAAGGACGACCACAGCCACCTCAGCCGCATCTCAAATACCCGGACTGTGCAGAATCTCCAACCTGACTGTACGAAACCGTTTGAGAGCAGCAGGTCTACGAGCAAGACGTCCTGTTCGACGCTTCATATTGAGTCGACAACAACGAGTGTATTATTGTCGTAAACATAGGGTATGGCCTCAACCGCGATGGAGATATGTCTTTTTCAGCGAAAAATCAAGATTTCTCCTCTGTCGAGGGGATGAAAGAGCACGGGTCTACTGACATCGGGGAGAAGGTTATGCCGGAAACTGCGTACAGGAAGTGAACAGGTTTGTAGGGGATAGCGTTATGATGTGGGCGGCTATCTCTCATCATGGCAGGACAGGTTTGGTCTATATCCAGGTCAATCTAAGGCTCAACGACACATCACAGAAATTCTCCTACCACACGTCCTGCAAATTGCAGCCCACGGCATCGGTGTATTCCAGCAGGACAACGCTCGACCATACAGGGCATACAGCACGGATCACAAGAGCCTGTCTACACCACAACAACGTTGATGGCCCTCCAGATCCCCGGATTTGAACCCAGTAGAGCACCTGTGGGATGAATTGAATAGACGGCTACGCTGACGTCAACCACAACCCCAGAGGTTGCAGCAGTTGGCTTTTGCGTTGCAGGCCGAGAGGGCCGCCATTCCAAAGGATGTGATTCGCATACTCGTCTCTTCCATGGGCAGGAGATGACATTTTGTTTAAAAAAACAATCAAAGAAAATTAACCAATGGCGAGAAAGAATTTATGGATCTTTGATGGATCTATATGGCAGTTCAATGTTTCATGCATGGATGATATGAAGGTAATTAACCTGGTTATTCAAAAGAGAAATTATCAAAAACAGTTTGTTCTTATCCATTTCTTTCGTGGATACCAGCTGCTTTGATAAAATGCTGTTTTGTGTGAAACTATATTCCTCTTGCTCTGGAATCACGTAAGGTAGACACGTCCATTGTACCACACTCGACCCTGCCTTATCTTCCGTCGTCGACGTCGGAAGACAACAGCAACAACAAGAGCTACAGCAGCAGCAGAGCACGATACAGCGACCACAACAGCGTTTGAGATGTTTTCTGAAAACACATGTTGCATGGACCATACAGGTTAATTAAGTCATTTTATGCATGTTTAATGACGATAAGGCTGTAGTCATTTCAAAGTGTTCAACAACGTTAAATTAAATACGTGTTTCTCATCCTACCTTTTAAATTCTTTATTTTTGATATGTGATATGTATACGAGTAAACATGTTGAATACTAATTTTACTGTAAAATATAAAAAAATGCTCGATGAGGAATTTCTATAATATGCAGCATATCAGAAATCACATTAACATTTTAGTATGTAATGCAACATCAGTGTTGCTTTTCATAACTTGATGAGAGGGTTCATATAAAATATGGCTCATAAATACCTTGTTTAATGAAAGATATGTATAATAGTTGTAATACTTCTCTTCGTTCCTGCTATAATAGAAAAATAAAACAAACGTACATGCCATGTTTTACTGATCCACTCTATCACGGATACAAATAACTTGCACTAACGAAAATTAATACTTTACTGATCCTAATGAGATCACCTCCTATTTTAAAGAGATCGGGTTTACAGTATTTATAGGTAAAGACAGTATGATCCATATTCTGCAGTCCCGATCCAGGTGGTACAATCACCAATCTAACAGAAATAACGGAATAGATTCGTCCTGAACAAACGTATTGAGAAAGTGTGTGTCACTCTATACACAGGGGATTGTAACGCAAAAAATGGCAAAATATATGATCACACCCTGTGTTAGTATACTATATAATAGGAAAGGGGTGTAACGAGGCCAACTAAGTTCATTCGTGAATGAATTCAACAATGTCCACTGTACATACCCCTATGAACTATACACTCATTTCAAGCCAGTGCATTTAGCTACACAATGAGACATAGAAGAAGAACATCGGAGCAGTGCGTTTGGAGCTAGCGTCTTCAGAAGCTCAAAATATCGCGATTTTTCGATTCACAGCCAAAATTCCTGCTCAGAATTTGTACCGCAAACTTACCGATGTTGGTTTTTTTATTGGATCGTGTACACAAATACTACGCACCAAAACCTGTTCAATTGATTGCATCTGTCAGCCCGCCCATCGTCATTCTTTCCGCGACACAAAAACCCGATGGTATTATGAGTTTAGAACATTGATTCGTCTCAATAAGCCCTTTGCCGTGCCCCGTCCGCCATAGACGACCTTCGCCTTGACATACCCCGCACTGAAAAAGGTGACGCCATTCATTTAGCAGATGTAGATGAAAAAATATATTATTTATAGCCAATCAGATCGCTGGCTTTTTTTCAGTGCGAGGTATGTCCTGTCTGTCTATAGATTTGTAGATATATCACCTACCAGGATCAGTTACCACCAGAAAGTGTTGACTGCCAGGGATCACTTCGTTGGATCTTCTACAGAAATATTTGCCTGCATCAGCTGATGTGACTTTGTAGAGGGTAAACTTCAACATGCTCATGTTTTGAAAGCGTGTAACTCCCACGACCTTCAACCTACTTTTGTACTGAATCCATATGTATATTTTCGCACCATGCACTGTCAGCATCCCCTTCCCAGGTGGCGTTCTAATTGAGAACTCACTCCGTACTTCTGGCAGCGTCCACACAAAGCTGGCGTGATCTCCCTCTATCGCTGTTGTGGTGTTGGTGCGGGCTTCTGTTCCTGCTGAAATACATGTTCAGCTTCAAGTTATGGAGAGGTGAGTTCACATGGGGTTTAACGTCACGTTGCCGATTTTTACTCGCACGCGCTGGGGATGGGGTGGGAGGGGGTGTTTGGGGGTGGGTCTGGATGGCTCTTTGTACTAATCCGGACTAATGCTAGTTTTTAAGTGATGACCCACTGATATGCTATGCCGCAGATTAACAGGAATACCCCACTCAGACTCAGTCTACTGACTCCGAGCCGACCAGTCCTTGTTGTGTCTCCTTAAAGCCGAGCGCCACTCAGGGTAGGAACAGATGCCATCTATTATCGTCTTTTGTATTTTTGATAATAATATACAATATTAAATCTAAATGGGTTCGTATAAACAATGTTCTTAAAAACATTCTGACGGTGATGATACCTTCCTTTGCATGTATATGTACACTTAGATGATGATTTTAAATGAGTTTGCCAAAAGCTGCACTCATCAAAAATCGAGCTATTTGACGGCAGCCTGGAAATAAACGGATAATCTAGTTAATAACATGAGCTGCGACACATTTCCAGATGGTTATTCTGGTCTTGGTTGTTAACATATATTCAATCGCGAAGATTAAGTGTTAAGTATTTGTAACCATGTAATCAAAGTCCGTTCGCATCATTCTTTCCTACTGCTTTCTGACCTGTGAAGATCTGTGACGAATAGGTCTTCAGCAACCCATGCTTGCCTTAAAAGGCGACTATGCTTGTCGTAAGAGGCGACTAACGGGATCGGGTGATCAGGCTCGCTGACTTGGTTGATGCATGTTATTGTATCCCAATCGCGTCGATCAATGCTCATGATGTCACTTACTGGATTGTCTGGTTCAGACGCGAATATTTGCAGACCACCTTCATATAGTTGGGTTATTATTGAGTGCGCCAAACAAAGAAACAAACACACTTACTGCTTGCAGCATATATTCCTGACTCCACACTGTTGACGGTAAACCCTTAACTCCCACGTGACACGTATATCTGTCTCCTTCATCATCCCCTGTGACACCACTAACAGTGATGGTGCTGCTGTGGTACCTGATCCATCGCCATGTGCTGACACCGTGTGTTGTTGACACCAGCTGGGTAGTGTTCCTCTTCCAGGTGAAATCCACCGATAGGTTGTAATCTGCAGGCTCACTCACTGATATGAAGCAACAGGTCAAGCTGACACTATCTCCATCCCCGGCTGTGACCAATATGTATGGGTCTTGTACATCCTCTGAAATTGATAAATTAAAGGATGTGGGCACAATGATTATTAAAAACAAAATTACATACTCTTCTAAATTAATCACTTCTCGTTATACATTGTTGGATTTACTATTTCAGGGTCTCACAAATATAAAGTGTTGATTTCTGTTATAAACAATTATTAAAACGTTATACATGAAACATGTAGATTGCAACTTCTTTATTTTTATGTAACGACGTTTCATGTGGACTGTTGATCTCTTCATCAGATGTTACGTTTTGTTGTTGTTTTTTTATGGATTTTTTTACAACAAAATGTGTATTTATTGTACACGTATGTACCTATGACGACCAGTGTTTGCCAACAGCCAAGTTCCCTGAAGGGTTTGAGGTCTCCAAGACCAACATTACACCTGTAAAGTCCACTCTCGCGGTGTGTGACATTGTAGAAAGCACAGCTGCGAACTTTCGTTTTGTTACAGGTTCTCTTGGTACGTTGTTTGTGAAGTTTACATTGTAACGCCCCTGTGTAAGAACGAAACACATTACAGGACAGCGTCACGTTGTCTCCTGCACGTGCGATAGTGTGTGCATCTGCAAATCGATACAAGATGTAAGACACTTTGGTATAAAAGAAAAGAAAAGAGCCTATTAACAGAATGAACACAAGATACAAACGCACGATACACACGAGCTATTATTCTTTTACACAGAATCAACAATTTTCCTGATTTATCGTTGCAGCCTGTGCATATTCCAATCTTGATCACGTCAAGTTCAAAGATCCACTATCACACGAGATGATTGGTATCTATTCCGCCTAAACATTCAGAGTGAGTGAGTGAGTATGGTTTTACGCCGCTTTTAGCAATATTCCAGCAATATCACGGCGGGGGACACCAGAAATGGGCTTCACACATTGTACCCATGTCGGGAATCGAACCCGGGTCCTCGGCGTGACGACCGAACGCTTTAACCACTAGGCTACCCGACCGCCCCCTTAACATTCAGAAGATTGATCATTATATATGCATCAACCCTAATTCAGAATTGGAATATTTATATGTCTCTGTGCTTTGGATGACATCATATATAAGATACTTTCCAACCAAGTGGATAAACAGGTTCTTATTCGTTTGGTGTAGACTTGTCCCAAATAGAGTGTGTTGTAAATGTTGTTCGCACAAATATACGTTTCTGGGGACTACGGGTTAGTATCAAGATTGCGCGAATGTGTTTTATAATTGAAACTCAGATGGGCAGTATTTCAAGACCTTTTTTTCAGACAAGAATAATCATAAAACTAGACTATATGACTTTCATGTGAAACCCGTAGAGACCCGGGTTAGAAATAATTTTCAGCAACCAAGAGGCGACTAACGGGATCGGATGTTCAGACTCGGTGACCTGGTTGATGCATGTTATCGTATCCAAATTCTGAAGATCGATGCTTACGATGTCATTTACTGGTGTGGTGCAAACTCGATTATCTACAAACCGCCGTCATTAATATCTGAGTGCGACGTTAAACAAATAAAATCGCGAAAAAGGGTAAATCGTGTATCCTGCTCATCGCTGGCACTCGTCAGTGTTGGCTGTAGTGCAATTCGCAATTTTGATACTAGGCAGTAGTCCCAAGAATGAATGTGGGCAGTGTTGGTTGCAGTGTTGGTGACTGTCACAGTGTTGGTTGCAGAATTGGTGGCAGTAGAAGTGTTGGCGGCAGTGTTGGTTGCGTGTTGATGGAAGTGTTGGTGGCAGCGTTGGTTGCGTGTTAATGGCAGTGTTGGTAGCAGTGTTGGTGGCAGTGTTGGTGGCAGTGTTGGTTGCGTGTTGATGGAAGTGTTGGTGGCAGCGTTGGTTGCGTGTTAATGGCAGTGTTGGTAGCAGTGTTGGTGGCAGTGTTGGTGGCAGTGTTGGTTGCGTGTTGATGGCAGTGTTGGTGGCAGCGTTGGTTGCGTGTTAATGGCAGTGTTGGTAGCAGTGTTGGTGGCAGTGTTGGTGGCAGTGTTGGTGACTGTCACAGGGTTGGTTGCAGAATTGGTGGCAGTAGAAGTGTTGGTGGCAGAATTGGTTGCAGTGTTGATGGCAGTGTTGGTGGCAGTGTTAGTTGCGTGTTAATGGCAGTGTTGGTAGCAGTGTTGGTAGCAGTGTTGGTGGCAGTGTTGGTGGCAGTGTTGGTGGCAGTGTTGGTGGCAGTGTTGGTAGCAGTGTTGGTGGCAGTGTTGGTGGCAGTGTTGGTGGCAGTGTTGATGGCAGTGTTGGTGGCAGTGTTGGTAGCAGTGTTGGTGGCAGTGTTGGTGACTGTCACAGTGTTGGTTGCAGAATTGGTGGCAGTAGAAGTGTTGATGGCAGTGTTGGTAGCAGTGTTGGTGGCAGTGTTGATGGCAGTGTTGGTGGCTGTGTTGGTAGCAGTGTTGGTGGCAGTGTTGGTAGAGTGTTGGTGGCAGTGCTGGTGACTGTCACAGTGTTGGTTGCAGAATTGGTGGCAGTAGAAGTGTTGGTGGCAGTGTTGGTGGCAGTGTTGGTTGCGTGTTGATGGCAGTGTTGGTAGCAGTGTTGGTGGCAGTGTTGAGGGCAGTGTTGATGGCAGCGTTGGTAGCAGTGTTGGTGGCAGTGTAGGTGGCAGTGTTGATGGCAGTGTTGGTGGCAGTGTTGGTGGCAGTGTTGGTAGCAGTGTTGGTGGCAGTGTAGATGGCAGTAGAAGTGTTGGTGGCAGAGTTGGTTGCAGTGTTGGTGGCAGTGTTGGTGGCAGTGTTGGTTGCGTGTTGATGGCAAGGTTTATGGAAGTGTTGGTTGCAGTGTTGGTGACGTGTCTTTCAGTAGCGACCCTATTCACCTTTCGTTATAGCTTTCCCAAACAGTACAAGAAAATAAGAGAGCAAACATTTTGATTTCATGAAGGGTGGGCGAAGAGGGGGCTGACAAGAAGTACAATTCATAATCAGACAATCCCTGTCAGTTTTCCATTACTGCATCAATGCATAAGTCATCACACATACTATTTATTATATTTCCTGTTGGTACATACTTCGTCATGGACTCCCCTCGAAAAATCATTAACGAGAGACCGCGATACTCGCAAATATATTTACCAAGGTAAGTCCCCGGAAACATTTACCAGCAGAACAGATAAAGCCACAATTATCTTATGGTGGACCTTCGACAACCGGAGACCCCGGCACCCTGAATGATATATAAAGCGGAAGATGGAAGTACAACTGACGCGAAAGGTGCGGATTATTTCATACAATTTATGAAAAATTAATTAATTACATTTTCGGGTGTATGCTTACCTTCGCAACTACCCCAAGCGTCTCCGGGTTTTATTCCTCCGTCTACACAGAGCAGGTGCAGGATGAAGACTAGACTCTGGATACATCTCATCATCAACTGTACACGCTGATAATTGCACACTCCTATTACAAATCTGACGGTGTATCAACTTTAAATAGACGGTGGTAAATAATTTATTATATCATTGAGGGAGATACGCTGAGTCAACACAGGCAATCAAAAGTTAATGTTTCCGCGTTCAAATACATGTAGTTTGTCTCAGTTTTCCGGAAGCTTTAACTTTTTTTCAGAAGTACGTATAAAAAAACCCAAATAAAACGATTAATTGATGTTATGAATACCCTTGCCTGAAGTAGGCTATGTCATGCACTGCAATCAATCGATCGTCATAAGTTGACTCTTGCGGTGAGCATTGGGTACTGGTAACCTCTTTTGCTCTTGAATCTTTTTGCATATGTGAAGCGAAAGGTCTCAGACGTTTATCACATTGGTGAAACCCACGAGACGGATATGGCTCTGACAAACCTAGATGTTTATTCTTGGCAAACCGGGATTCCAGTGAGTGAGTGAGTGAGTGAGTGAGTGAGTGAGTGAGTGAGTGAGTGAGTGAGTGAGTGAGTGAGTGAGTGAGTGAGTGAGTGAGTGAGTGAGTGAGTGAGTGAGTGAGTGAGTGAGTGAGTGAGTGAGTGAGTGAGTGAGTGAGTGAGTGAGTGAGTGAGTGAGTGAGTGAGTGAGTGAGTGAGTGAGTGAGTGAGTGAGTGAGTGAGTGAGTGAGTGAGTGAGTGAGTGAGTGAGTGAGTGAGTGAGTGAGTGAGTGAGTGAGTGAGTGAGTGAGTGAGTGAGTGAGTGAGTGAGTGAGTGAGTGAGTGAGTGAGTGAGTGAGTGAGTGAGTGAGTGAGTGAGTGAGTGAGTGAGTGAGTGAGTGAGTGAGTGAGTGAGTGAGTGAGTGAGTGAGTGAGTGAGTGAGTGAGTGAGTGAGTGAGTGAGTGAGTGAGTGAGTGAGTGAGTGAGTGAGTGAGTGAGTGAGTGAGTGAGTGAGTGAGTGAGTGAGTGAGTGAGTGAGTGAGTGAGTGAGTGAGTGAGTGAGTGAGTGAGTGAGTGAGTGAGTGAGTGAGTGAGTGAGTGAGTGAGTGAGTGAGTGAGTGAGTGAGTGAGTGAGTGAGTGAGTGAGTGAGTGAGTCAAAAAAAGAAAACAGTTATTAAAAATACATGAAAATTAAGCCATCTCTAATGCATAAATGAAAGGGTACAGACAATGTTCCTCACATCACTATTGACTTATATTGTTGTATTAAAGCTTTCAAGGGATGAGTGAGTGGGTGAATATGGTTTAACGCCGCTTGTAGCAATATTCCAGCAACATCACGGCGGGGGACACCAGCAATGGGCTTCACACATTGTACCCATGTCGGGAATCGAACCCGGGTCTTCAGCGTGACGAGCGAACGCCTTAACCACTAGGCTACCCGACCTCCCCTTCAAGGGATGATGGTTTTTGTTCAGTTGTATTACAAAGACATCCACAAATGTACTTATTAACAAATCAAATCTACGTTATATACGCCTAATCTTATCCAAAACATGTTCATTGTGTTTCCTCCACCATACCATATACAGTAAACTACGTTTATAACGAACACGCTTATAACGAACTGACGGATATAACGAACTATTTTTTTGGTCCTTTCCATTTGCTGTGAATATTCCGTACATTTGCTTATAACGAACTACTGTTATACCGATCTATAATCAGTGGTCCCTTTGTGTTCGTTATAACCGTAGTTTACTGTATTATGTGAATATTGTTGAAACCAACACACGCACTCGCCTGGTCGCTGAATAATTTCCGTTCACGTTTATCGAATGTCGATTGAAAACATTTAAACAGGAAACAAATGTTTCGTAGCTGGTACACAGGGACATGTTTCCGTGTTTGTAGAGCGCTATCTATTTCGCAGTTGGGGAGAATTAGTTTGTATAGAAACACTCACACTTCCGGCAGCGTGTTTCGATTTCATGCCCCGGGTGAGGTTGAGAAAATTTGTACAAGGGAACAATTTCACAACATGAGCGGGGACGGTCGAGTAGCTTCTTGGTTAAAGCATTCGCCCGTCACGCCGAAGTCCCGGGTTCGATTCCCGACATGGGTATGACGTGTGAAGCCCATTTCTGGTATCCCCGGCCGTGATAGTGAAGGAATATTTCTTAAAGCGGCGTAAAACCATACTAACTCACTCACTCACTTCGATTTCATGTCACGAGTTTGAGAAAATGTGTACAAGGGAACAATTTCACAACATGAGGGGCGACGGTCGGGTAGCTTCTTGGTTAAAGCGTTCGCTCGTCACGCCGAAGTCCCGGGTTCGATCGATTCCCGACATGGGTACAAATTGTGATATATTGTAATTGTGGAATATTGCTAAAAGCGGCGCAAAACCATGCACACTCACTCACTCACTCACTCACTCACTCTCAACATGAGGGGATACTCTTTTACATGAGCGTGTCAGCCACCGACTTCAATCATGAATGTGTGACCTACCACGGGCTGACTATATTGAGATTATGACGAACATCGTAAGCGACTGATAATGTTATGGGTATGGGTATGTTTCGAATTCCCATCGTCTCCACCGTCTGCACTAAACACCCGCCTCCTGGTATGGTCATATATGTTTCATGTTATTGATTGAGTGATGCACATGACTATATCAAATATTTATATCGTCTCCTTTATTCTCCGCGAAGCTATCGTGTAAAAAGTACTGAATTTTAAATAATTGAATTTTTAAGGGGCAAAGTCTGTGCATTAATAATATATTTCTGCTATTATCACAAACTCAGCAGGTATCATGCTAGTGAGTATCCCACAACGGGTTGTGTTTTAGGCCTTAAGTTTCAGTGTTTCGGATACTGTTTTCACCCATGTAACGTTAACGTTTTGATAACGCTTCTCACTTTGGGGTCAAATCCAATTATCAAGCGTACACTTTCTTTTGCCTTGCCGTGTAGTATTTTTTGTTTGTTTGTCCGCACTCAGCAATATTCCAGCTATATGACGGCGGTCTGTGAATAATCGTGTCTGGAAAAGAGAATCCAGTGATTGATGTCATGAGCATCGATCCACGGGATTGGTTGTTGGTTTGTTGTTTTACGCCGCACTCAGCAATATTCAAGCCATATGACGGCGGTTTGTAAATAATCGAGTCCGGGCCAGACAATCCACTGATTTACATCATGAGCATCGATCCACGCAATTGGGATACGATCACATGCATCAACCAAGTCAGCGAGCCTGACCACTCGATCCCGTTTAGTCGCCTCTTACTATAAAACATAGCCACCTTTTACAGCAAGCATTATTGCACTTATATATAGCGACGTGTGGCTGCTTGTACTGGTCCGGACTAATGCCGAGTTTACAGTGCTAGCCCACTGAGATACCATGCCGCAGTTTAACATGAATAGCCCACTCAGACACACTGTCTCCGAGCCGACCTGTTCAGCGCCTTAATGCCGAGCATCAGGCAGGGCAACAACAAGTTGACTGAACATGTTTCTTTTTCGACAATGGAATTTGCACTGTTTACTGAAATTTAAGGGTACGCGTAGGGTGAGTGAGTATGATTTTACGTCACTTTTAGCAATATTCCAGCAACATCACGTTAATCGCTAGGTTACCCCAGTGCCCCTGGTACGTGTAGAACAGTCATATATGGATGTGTTTGTTATGTTTAGGCCAGACACGGCACCTTAAGTTGACATAATTTTCTTCAATATGTCAAAATCGAGATTTTGATGTGTTTAGCATATATAATACATGTACGTTGTGATGCAAGATGTTTTTTCGACATTGTGTACTTTTACTGAATAAAAACGTTATTAAAATCATATTGTGTGGTATCTGTTTTAAATATGATCGTAATCAACGTGGAAAAACCTGAACTTTCACCCATGACAACGCCCCCGCAGCTGTAACGCACCCCTTTATGTTTTACATCAATAGAAAGCTGATCGTTTCCGCCATGTTTCTGTGAAAAGATATTCTAAAAATAGATATTCCGCGTGAGGCTATCATCACTTTTTCCCGCTCGTCATTGTGTACGTAAACTACCTTTTAAGGAGATATATTCCATAATGCAACATTCGGGAATATTCGTTCGATCCAAATAAATTAAACGTATCCCACAATGCACCATTCGGCTTAGCAACAAAACTTCGGCCTTTTCCGGTAGGTATACAAAATGGCGGCTGCTTAGCGAAAAGATTGACAGGTAAACATCGTTTTGTTTTTTTTCTTGACTGAAAATTGTTGTATTTATTTATAATGAGGTCAAAACACGGGTCACAACATGCTCATGGTAAGAATAAGAGGTGAAGGGCAGGCGCGTTCCAAATGCGGTGTTAGAGTTACGACCCTTGTTGACAGCGCGATCAACCCTGTGTCAGATTCTGACAGCTGGGACGTTTTAGATGCATCGGAATCATCCGGGGACCACGCCGTTGAGGAAAATATCCCCGTTGGAGACAATGAAGGTGATAAGTCTTATTCATTGAATGGAACTTCACGCAGTGACATACAACTATCAAAATTCAAAGCTGCTGAAAATATCAAATCTCTCGTGCTTGACACTGATGAACCAAAACCTCAATGGATGTTTATTGATATGAGACAAATGAATTTAATTTTTCAAGAGATTGAATGCCCATCATGTCACGAACAGGGGTCTTTGTTGTTTGAAAAGAGTGACAATTTTGATAGATTTGGATTTGCTGTAAACATTATGTTGACATGTCAAAAGTGTCAGATGTGTGTTGCCAAAAATTACACTTCACAAAGGCCAGGTAATCAATCTGGTACCAATCCCTTTCAGATCAAAAACATTTTTATGCTCTTTCTGTCAGAGGTAGGACTTAGTCATGCTGCAATGAAAAAGTTTTGTCTGGTTTTTGGAATGGAAGGTCTCCATGCAAAGACATTCCAACAGAAACAAAACATTCTTTCACAGGTTGTTGTTGAAAAAACTGACGGTGTTGCCAAAATTATGAAGGTAGTTTTAATGCCATGGAAGTTGAAGCCGCTAAGAGGCTTTGGTCCGTTCATTGGAGAAGCATAATGTACGTTACACATGTATACTTTCAGACAGCAAAACCCACAAGACAGTCAACGACCTTCAACCCTGTGGACCAGACATCAGTATTGACAAGGAAGACTGTATTAACCATGCTCATAAAAGGATGGGCACTGCTCTTCTGAATTTGTCAAAAGAGTAGAGATTGGATGGTAGGGGCAGAGGAAAGCTCACTGAAGACAAAGCTCTACAATTCCAGTATTATTACCGCTTTGCCATCGCTAACAATGTTGGTAACATCGATGGTACAAGGAATGCAATCTGGGCAAGTTTGTTTCATTGCATGTCAACCGATGATCCTCCCCATCACACTAGATGTCCCCCTGGTCCCTCAAGTTGGTGTTTTTATGATAGAGCACTGGCTAATGATCTTGAGCCTTCTGCTCACGCAGACAACATCAGACATTTACTCGATGCATATATTGCAGAAAAGATGGTACCTGTGTATCAAAGAATGTCTGATGAAAACCTCCTTAAGAGGATGGTGGAAGGCAAGACACAAAATGCTTATAAGTGCTTGCATTCCGTGATCTGGTCCCGTTGTCCGAAGACCGTCTTTGTGGGTGCAAGGCGGTTGCATCTGGCAGTGGCATCTGCAATAACTTCGTTCAATGAGGGTACTTATAACATAACTCAGGTAATGAACAAGCTTTCAATAGAAGCTAATGAAATAACAGCAGCTTGATAACGTGAGAACGTAGCGCAAAGTGGGAGGCTAAAAAACGGAACGAGTTCATGTCGAGGGAGCTGAAGGCTTGTTGTATGGTGCTGGGGAGTTTTAAATCCTGTTTTATCTTTTTACATGCATTGTTTTATGTATCTTGAATACATCCCTTTAGTAAACTAAGATTTTGTAAGTGTTTAATAGGTGCTGAAAGAAGAAAAACATATACAAACTTATTTCCTTATTTTCTCCATAAACGTCATTTTGGATGTTAGTGAACATAGTTCTCAACCGTTTTTGGCCCGATTGGAATAAAATTTGGTATGCATATAGGCAGGGGATTACTTTACACAATAACAGAGAGACTTTCTGAAATATTTTGGCTGTTTTTTTGTGTTTTTTTAAATTTGGGTAAAAATCAATCACAAAAAATGAAATTTTGAAAAATTATTTTAAAAATATATACCATTTTTAAAAAATAATTTTTCTTTCTGTCATTGCACCAAACCATACATGCTTTGTTATACAATTGTAATTATATAAATATCTTTATTAGTCTTAGAGAAAAACTTAAACTAATTTCCATCTTTTCCAGACTTGCGGTGGCCATCTTGGGTGTTTCCATGGCAACCAGTGGCAACATCACCTGGAAAGACTCCATTTCAATTGTTAACATGTATACCGCTAAGTTGTAGCCAATTAAAACTAACAAATACTTGTGAAGCATTTTGTCAATTGTAAGGTGCAGTGCCACCCGTGCCCCCTTTTACATAGTCAGTGGATAAACCTACACCATAAAGTACTCAAGTAAATAATATTTTTTCGTCGTCAGATAATGTATATTTGCTCGGTACTACTTAACAGCACACAATTCTGAGTTAATGTTCTTTACAAGTTCTCTTCGTATCACGTGAATCATTTGCAATCAGCCTTACTTGAAACCAACTCTGGTGATTGGTGTTATATATTATCGTGTTTTTGTAAAAGAGCGTATTAATAAATGATTTATATATTATACAAACAGCACGTTTGCCACTCTATTAACATAACAAATATACTCAACACCAAAAGTTCCCTCGACACCAATATTTTAGTATATTTTTCAAACAAGTAAAGTTTGGTTTTCCATATCGCAGTACATGTATGGAATCAAGTCACTAAAACGCAACTGCTACAGAAAAGCATGCATTCCATGCAAGCCCCATGCATTTCACTACCCAATAATGGGTATAAAAACATGTCCGTTAACGGGATTCCATATGCATTGTTTAGCATCGTGCTAACAACAACCACTGATAAAAACAACAAAATTGCCAAATTATTCAACATTACGAAATGCCACGCCTGTCCACAAATGAGCGTCTGCGAGCCATTGGTATGCTTGAAGCAGGATCGAGACAACGTGATGTTGCAAGACAATTTAACGTCCACAGAAACATCATTTGGTGTTTATGGCAACGTTGGCAACAGACGAATGCAGTCAGAGACCATCCTCGGAGTAGCAGGCCACGCGTAACCAATCATCGACAAGACAACTGGATTCGAACAACACACCTACGAAATCGATTCCAGCCAGCAACAGTGACTGCAAGAAGCATCCCTGGCCTTCGACGAATATCTTCACAAACCGTACGTCGTCGCCTCAGATGTGCAGGGATTGTCACCAGAAGACCCGCCAGACGTCCAATTTTGACAGGAAACCACCGTGAAGCACGACTACAGTGGTACAGACAGCGTCTACGCTGTTCTACGCTGGACGGCCATGCAGTGAGGACAATTTCTATTCACTGACGAGTCTCGTTTTCACCTCAGCCACAGCGATGGACGGATTCGAGTGTACCGACGTCGAGGTGAACGTTACGACAATCATTGTGGCATGGAAGAAGATCGGTTCGGGGACGGTAGCGTTATGGTATGGGTTGGGATTGCAGCAAGACAGAGGACCCGTTTGATAGTGGTAGAGGGAAATCTCAATGGACAGCGCTACCGCGACGAGATCATCGGCCCTGTTGTTCTACCGTTTTTGCGTCGTCATGACCTAGGCATTATCTTTCAACATGAAAACGCCCGGCCTCATATTTCTCGACTTGTTCAGGATTCTTTAAAATTTTCAACAAAACAACGTAATTGTCACCCCCTGGCCGGCTCTCTCACCAATCAAGCACATGTTAGATGAGATGGATCAGCGCCTTCGACGTCAACCACGTGTTCCACAGACACTCCAGGAACTTCGAAACATGCTCCAGCAGATATGGTCATTAACTGACGTCCAAAAGAAACTTTACCAGAGTTTGAAATCACTCTTGCTCAAAAAACAGCAAAACATACATGCATGAAGTAAAGAGTATTGAGAAGATCAATATATCAACATAATCAACACTGAAAATGACAATCATACCGCGACCGAGAATGACGTCAGAGCCCCCCAAAGTTGGGTGTGGTACAAAACTCGAGCTTTCAGAATCATGGAAAATAGGCAGAGTACATAAACAATCGCTCACGTTCAATAACAAGTCATTAGTAGCGTGTGTGACCACCAAATGCCTCAATACACGCAAAAACTCTTCCACGCACAGAAAAAGTTAGTCGTCTGATGAGGTCACCTGGGATTTGACGCCATTCTTCTTGGAGGGCCAAGATTAGTTCTTGCTGGTTGGCTGGAGAGTGTGGTCGTTGTCGAACACGACGATCCATCAAGTCCCAGAGGTGTTCTATGGGGGACATGTCGGGTGAGCGTACAACCACGGCAAGGCGTTGACGTTGTTGACTGGAAGGAAGTTAGTGACAATTCTGGCTGTATCGGCTCTAGCGTTGTCATGCTGATAAATGACACCACGTGGCTGCTATTGGAGAAATGGTAGGACAACTGGACAAAGAATTTTATCCATGTAACGCTGAGCTGTCAAGTTTCCGTCAACGATGACCAGCGGTGTCCTCTCCTGCCCACAGATCGCTCCCCACACCATGACACTCCCTCCACCATATGGTACGACCTCCTGTACGCAAGTGCCGGTCATCATGGGGCGTGGTCACCCTGGGTCTGCCTGTTCTTGGCCTGACTTGCAATCGTTTAATACCCTTACCCGCACGTGCATTTGCAGTTGTCCGTGGTGTATGTGTTTTTCACTTTTTCGCGTGTTATCTCGCAAACATGTAACAGACGATTAACATTTTCTGCATACACTATTGTTGTATTTAGGTTATGTGTTTTAGATAGACTTCATCGAAAACAAATTTATACTTTGTCTGAAATTTATATTTTCAGTTGGTAAAGTTTCTTTTAGACGTCAGTTTATATCCCACAGACCTTTGCGCGACGCCTGGTCCATTCCATGAGACGAAGATGTGTTGCTTGCATCGCAACCAGAGGTGGACACACACGCTATTGATTTATTAATTAACATTTTGGCATGTTTCATGTGTTTTTTTATGAAATCACACATTTTCTGAAATCAGTATGGCAAATTAAAAAACCATTTGAACACTTACGGGAGTTTTGTATCTGTTGTAAACCGAAATTGTTTCAATACAATGATATGACTAAAACTGCATTTAGTTATGTACATGAATTATACTTTAAAGGTAAAAGACACGGGTGGCCCGGTCGTCTAAGGCACCGCGATTCGCTGTGCAGAGTTGCGTCCCTTGGGCACGCCAGAAACCTATGATTGTGGGTTCGAATCCCGGTTCGCCCCAATTATGTTTCTAGCTTTGTCAGCAACACACCCGTGCTCGTGGGTTTCACCGAAGTGATAAACGTCTGAGACCTGCATCACTTCGGGCTTTCCTCCCACATTAAGCTGACACGCCGCGATATAACTGGAATACTGTTAAAAGCGGCGTTAAACCAAACTCACTCACTCCCTAAATGGTAAAATACAAGAAATATTCACAATCTGAAACAGACACAAAAACATACCAACTGACATGAGTTAAGTGGATCTCTTTACCAGGAAATGTTACAGATGCACTTGAACTGGTAATTCTCCACCGAAACTGGGCGTTCTCCTTACAGGGTCCTTTTGGGATGTTCAGGCTTCATCTTCCTTTCGGTTTTACACTTTGTATCGTATGACAAAGACACTTTGATCTTCTCAACACACTGCACATAAACTCGATTATTATTAATATTATTATTAATATATCGTTGTTTAATAATGTCACGAACAACGCGTACTGATTTCATCAAAATGAGGAAATATTGTCAAGTTATGTTTGATTAAACAATGCCAATTGAGTTCAGGAAGGAAAAGATAATCGGGTTGCACCCACTTCAGACAGGCTATATAATAGACAGAGACAAGCCTGTGTATCAATCAGCGTCACTGATGTCGTGGTGTGACGATGTATGCGACAGATGTTACTGCGGTGCTTGTAGTTGTATGCTCCTTTGGTCTTCCACTGATGGGTATTGGGGGTAAGTACATTGGACAGTAAGTGTTGATGTTACTGTGGTGCTTGTAGTTGCATGCTCCCCTGGCCTTCCACTGATGGGTATTGGGGGTAAGTACATTGGCCAGTAAGTGTTAATGTTACTGTGGTGCTTGTAGTTGCATGCTCCCTTGGCCTTCCACTGATGGGTATTGGGGGTAAGTACACTGGACAGTAAGTGTTGATGTTACTGTGGTGCTTGTAGTTGCATGCTCCCTTGGCCTTCCACTGATGGGTATTGGGGGTCAAAAAAGTGTTTGACATTGACCTCATGTCATGCAGCTACTGCCAGTAGGACAGCAAGCGTTGACCCATTTCGATAACACTTCGATAATATATCTCTGAAGGTGCCTCAATGTGTCTTTTATGATCATGAATTCATTTCCTTAGATTTTTGCTTGTTTGTTGTTTTTTCACCGCACTCAGCAATATTCTAGCTATGTGCCGGTGGCCTGTTAATAATCTATTTTAGACCAGACAAACCAGTGATTGAAATTATTGGTTGGTTGGTTGTTTGTTGTCTAACGCCGCAGTCGGCAATATTTCAGCTGTATGACGGCGGTCTGTAAATAATCGAGTCTCGACCAGACAATCCAGTGATTGACATCATGAACATTAAAATTATTGAAATTTAGCAAATTGGGATATAATTACATGAATCAACCAAGTCAGTGAGGCTCACAACCTGATCCCGCTGGTCAGCTCTTACGACAAGCATGAGTTACTGAAGATCAGTTCTAACCCGGATCTCTACGAGCCCTTTTCTTAGACAGGCTCCTAAATCATTGCCATTTCTACTTTACAGCAGCTACCACGAGCTTTGTGGTTGCCCCAAGCAACGGGAATGTCACCATGACCTGGAACCTTCCTGAAACTGACATCAGGGAGTTTACTGTATTTTATGATTCCTACCCGGCTATTGATATATTTCATGTGCAGAACAGTGGCATCAAGATAGTCAGCGATGACTACAAAAACAGGATTGAAAATATATCCTCATCCGGATCAGGAGTTTTTGGTTTTGAATTTTTTAATGTGAGCCCTTGGGATGACGCTGGGGCATACGGCTGTTACAAAGGGCCGCCGGACTCCGGGGGTGCAGACATTCCTGGATGTGGACAGACCCTCATTGTTGTTGGTAAGTATTTAGTATCTGGATGGTTTGTTTTTTGTAGCATTCAGCAGTGTAGGACTAAGCAAACCGGTGATCGATATTATGGGCAACGATTCACGCTGCCGAAATACGATGACGCACCATCAACTATTTCTCCGAGTCTGACCATCTGATCCATTCAATCACCTCGACCAGCATAGGCTGTTGTTGACATACATGTATTGACGTCTCCGTGGTCTTATGGTAGAGCGTCCGCCCGGAGAGCGGAAGGTCCAGGGTTCGATTCCCGACCGCGTCATAACAAAAGAGTTACAAGATGGTACTTGTTGTTATCCTGCCTGGCGCTCGGCATCAAGGGGCTAAAGAGGACTGGTCGGCTCGGAGTCAGTATACTGTGTCTGATTGGGGTATTCATGTTAAACTGCGGCATGGTATCTCAATGAGCTAGCACTATAAATCGGCATCAGTCCGGACTAGTACAGCAGCCACACACATATGTGCATGCACGTCGCTATGTAAGTGCAAAAATGGACGCGACGTTAAACCCCATTTCACCTCACCTCATTTCGTAGAAGTGACAATGAGGTTTATTACTTACAGTACTGACAATCCTAGCACTATAAATCGGCATCAGTCCGGACTAGTACAAGCAGCCACACACACACACACACACACACACACACACACACACACACACACACACACACGTGCATGCACGTCGCTATATGAGTGCAATAATCTTGGACGCGACGTTTATCCCAAGTTCACCTCACCTCACCTCACCTGTAGACATACATGTTTTCGTCTGTCAATCCACAATCCTACCGGTTATTAACTATCAATACAAGTGCCGACAATCCAGACCCAAGACAAATTTTACCCCTGTGACGCCTAGATATTACTCATTACCCATGTCACATACCCAGTTTACTCATCAAGAGAGGTCACAGGTGGCCCAGTCGACAAAGGAACCGTTCAGAGTTGCGTACCTTAGACTACCCACACACCTACGATTGTGGGTTCGAATCCCGGTTCGCCCTGAATATGTTTCTGGGTTTGTCAGCACCATATATATGATCGTGGGTTTCATCAAAGTTGTAAACGTCTAAGACCTAAGGAAGAGAATTTATGAATGTCAACTTCTTTATCATGAGGAGCACACCATTTCGGTGTATATGCTTACTCTTTCATCAAGCATATACACCGAAACGTTGTGTTCCTCATAATAAAGAAGTTGCCATCCATGTATTCTCTTCATTATGAGTATCCCTTCTAAATGCTTTTCAAAGACTTGTCCATGACCTGCATCACTCCGGACTTTTTCCCGATATCAGTCTGACATGCCGTGATATAAGTGAAATCCTGTCCAAATCAGCGTCGACCCCAACTCTCTCTCTCTCACTCACACATCGTGGGGCGACGAGTGGCCCGATCGCCTAAGGCGCCGCGATTCGCTGCGCAGAGTTACGTCACTTGGGCACGCCAGAAACCCCCGATTGTGGGTTCGAATCCCGGTTTCTAGGTTTGTCAGCACCAAACCCGTGGTCGTGGGTTTTTCCGAAATGGTCACTTCGGCTTTTCCTCCCACACCCCGTGATATAACTGGAATAATGTTAAAAGCGGCGTTAAACCAAACACACTCACTCACTCATTACATGAATGTATTATCTTCCTGTTGCAGATCTCATCCAGGAACCATACCTCGTAGTCCCGGAATCTGTCACGCACAGTGCAGGTGCCATCCTACAATGCCTCATCGCCTTCCGCAGTCACCCAATAGGTCTCCAGCCCAAGGTGTCAGTGAGTTGGAGGAAGAACAATGCGACACTGGAGAGAGGCCCGAACTACACCATGACGGCTGACACGGGCATGTGGGACTTGGAAGTGTATCACAGCAGCACCCTAAATGTCAATGATGCTGGGCTGGATGACGATGGGGCACGATACTCCTGCCAGGTGGTCGTCGGAGATGGGATTCAGACAGACTGGAGTGAAGAGTATAGCCTTGGCGCGGAGTGTAAGTATTGCAGACTGTACATTCATATTTGTCTTTTCTCGAACAATTTAACAGAGCGACAAAACTCCCATTGAATAATTCCACGTGCTAAAATGGCTATTTGATAGTGGTTCTTTGGGACAGGAAGGCCTTACCACACTGGTGTTGCAGTTTCAGAACAAGGGTCAAAGAACTACACAGTGGCTGTGGATGGCGATGATGCCATATTGTCGTTCTGGAAGCCCAACATCAGTGACACGCTCTCCGTGTGGTCCCCAGAGGAGTCGGTTCTATTCACCATGGAATCGGCAAACATTAAGATATGGTCAAGCTACAGGTCAAGAATGAAGATCAGTGCTGTCGTAACTCCCAGTAAAGCTGTCCGAGTATTACTGCAGAATGTTACCCCGGCTGATGCGGGCAGGTACCTCTGTGGGAGAGGGGTCATCGACAGGGAGCTCATTGTACCCAACTGTGGAGTAATCTTGGTACTGCTGAGTAAGTATTAATGGAGTGAGTGGGGTAGAGTTGTAGCATGATATAAAAACGTAATCGTTTTATGTCATGTCAGTCGAAGTGGCACAGGTCTCACACGCATCTGAGCAAGATCGTTGACAGACCATAATGAAAAATGGAGATTCGAAACCATGCTCATGAGATCCTGGCATGACGAAGGGACGCAACTCTGCACATCTATTTGTGGCTTAAATAAAAGTGTCTTAAATATCCATGCAACACTAAGTTAGTACAGTGTTGCGTCGCTCAAAGAGTCTAAGAATTGGTTCTAAATGAGATTCGCTCCTCTTTTGGGCATTGACTTATCATACATACCCGGTCTCGTGCCCTTCATCGCAAGGACAAACACCTGAGACGTGCATCATACGTCCTCGAAAAAATCATCCCTGATAAAATTAAAATACTGTTCAAAGCAGCATCAGGTTTTCCTACAGGAAAGCATTATGTTAGATATGTCGACTTGCAAGATTTGTTTGTTTATTGTGTAACGACACACTCATTATTCGAGCTACATGACAGCGGTCTGTGAATAATCGTGTCTGGAACAGAGAATCTAGTGAAAGATGTCATGAGCATCGAGCCACGGGATTGGTTGTTGGTATGTTGTTTTACGCCGCACTCAGCAATATTCCAGCTTTATGAAGGCGGTCTGTAAAGAATCGACTCTGGGCCAGACAATCCAGTGATTGAAATCATGAGCAATTGGGATCGATGACATACTTCAACCAAGTCAGCGAGCCTGACCAACCGATCCCGTTAGTCGCCTCTTACGGCAAGCATAGTCGCCTTTTACGGCAAGCATGGGTTGCTGGAGACCTATTCTACCCCGGATCTTCACAGTACGACTTGCAAGAGATCATGATACTACCAAGTTTTCAGAACAATAATTTGTCTCATAGAATGTATATAGTTATTGGTTGATGTTGCAGGACCACCCGTGAGACCCGTTATTGCCCTACCCGCACAGCCGATGTCAGGACAGACTATCACAGTTACCTGTTCCACCTCGTCCCGCAGCCTCCCGCAAAGTCATCCCTTGGCGATGTCCTTCTGGTGGTTTAAAGACGGCGCTTTGCTGACTCAGGAGGGGAAGTATGGCGTACGTGAGTCGACCCTCACTATCAGGAACGTCAACGCATTGGATAGCGGAAACTACACTTGCCAAGCCAAGGAGGAAGATGGACTCGTGTCAGAACGTAGCGAGGCCGTGCTGATGGATGTTAAGAGTAGGTATCTGATGGTTGTTCGTCAGGATTGAATTTTTGGTGTCCCCCGCCGTGATATTGCTGGAATATTGCTAAAAGCGGCTTAAAACCATACTCACTTACTCACTCAGTCGTCAGGATAGATGGCTATTTCGCATGGTTATTTCAGAATAAGGTATTGAATACTGGTTTGGATGGCGAGAAAATATTCTGCTCTATTGTTAATTGCTGCGACATCTACACCGACAGTGGTAGTAACGGTAGAGACAGCTGACACTATGATTAAAGGTATTGAACGGTACTTGTACTCACTGGGCTTGCTTCATAGCGACTGCTGTAAACGTGGAATCCAAACCCGCCGATTGGCTGGGAGCTGCATTGGTCTCTTTTGATTCTCAAGCACAGGTCACTGCACTCGGATAGCCTCGGTAGTCTTCCGGACATTGCCGATGACCACACTACTTCAGTCGTGACCAACTCGTGCTATTTCGGGACAAGCCCAAAAACAATTGTCAACTCGTTGCGTAATGGTTCACATATATTTCCCCAGATATTATATATGTTTCAGATGCAATTGAGACCACATCTGGTATGATTGTACACATTTGACTGTGTCTTTGGCTGCAAGACATATGTAAAATCAAAAATTATTTATATAACACTCATCAATAAGGGGACGAGTCTTCTTGTAGGTTACGGAGTGGTGACGAATGTCAAAAGTAGTGTGCATTCGTCACCATTTTCCGTAACCTACAAGAAGACTCGTTCCCCTATCGATGAATGTTATGTGCGAAAATACGACAAACCAATCAGAATGTGCGTATGATTTCAAGTTCTTCGTCAAAGAAATATTTATTTTTAGTTTACATATGTCTTGCATCTGAGAATATACCCAAGATAAGTTAAATCTGTTCAATCATACTGTATAAGTCCCGATGTGGTTTAAATCGCATCTGGAATATATATGATATATATGAAAATATACGTGAATCTTATCCAACGAGTTGGTAGTAAACTATGTCACAGACAGTGGCCACGAGCAGGGCACGAGTCGCTCTTCGGCTTGTCCCGGAATAACACGAGTTGTTCACGAATGTTCTTTTTAAAATTAAAACGGCCCACCATAACACATAGTGTAAGTAAATCTAACACTTATAAACTATTGGTGCAATATTGCAAGCAGCAGACTTTGAGCCAGCATACGAAAGGGACCACGAATCGATGTCCCATTTGTTTGAAGGCGTCAGAATCGACTTTGAAAGGTGTCATCTCTTAGTCGTGCCAGGATCGTTGGTTCAATCCTGGATTTGCCTTGACAATGATCCATGACTTTCAGCCTAGACATATTGTACTTCTTATACAAATGTGACCACGAATCGATTTCCCAGGTGTCCAAAGGCGTCAGAATTGACTTTGAAAAGTGTCATCTCTTAGTCGTGCTAGGATCGTTGGTTCTGTACCTAGATGTTTTATTGATAATTATCCTTGAATTGTGAGCACCATATACGCATTTGGTTTCCTAAAAGTGAATAACTCAAAGCGGAGCTGTTAAAACCGAAACTCATTCGTTATTGACAATAGACCAGTATGCTACAGTGATAATTTTTAATTGTACACGCAAGCTGCTGTAGAAAGTATATGCCACATGTGCCTGTAGAATTATTATGTTTGTGCGCTTGTTTCAGCACCTGGACATGGCGGGGATGAAGCAAGCATCTCATCACAAAACGGTAATTCCTTTCTTCCCTAAATTAGTTATCAAGGTTAGAACTGATCCCCACCATTGTCGTACGAGGAGATTTATTAGATCAGGAGGTCAGGAGTTTGGATTTCATCGTACCCCGAAGACCTGCAGGCCCAGATTCGAGAAGTTACCGCAGCTGTCGTATATTTATAACTGGAATAGAGTGCAGCGTTAAACGGCAAACAAGTCACCCAATCCTTCCCTTTAGGTGCCATAATTTAAGATGACCATAGTCGAGTAAGGTGTCCATGTCGACTCGGGTTCCCCAAATCGCTGTGCTGAGTTACGTCCCTTGGGCACACCAGAAACCTATGATTGTGGCTTCGAATCCCGGTTTGCCAAATTATGTTTCTAGGTTTGTCAGCACCATACCCGTGCTCGTGGGTTTCACCGAAGTGGTAAACGTCTGAGAACTGCATCACTTCGGTCTATCCTCCCACATTAAGCTGACACGCCGCGATATAACTGGAATACTGCTACAAGCGGCTCACTCTAATTCTATCATGTGCACAAGAAGGAAGAATCTAGTTGTTCAAGAGGGAAATGTTGGATACATGTATAGTCTGTGGGTACTGGAAATAAGGAAATCGGTCATCATGATTAAGTAGTTTCAAACCCAAGCCGCCATGAAACATGTCATTTAGAACTATTGTTTGAAAGCTACATTGTATACAACTACTTCACATTTAGCGGCTTTGTGTATTGAGATATTTTCGTAACAATCATTGTCGTGGATATGCGGTTATTTAACGAGGTTCTGTTACTGGACTTCCCTCCGTGGCTGAATCAATGACATGTATAACAGTCTACCTGATGACAAGATCCGTGAAGATGCGGGGTAGAATAGGACTTCAGCAACCAAGCAACCCGTAAAAAAGGCGGTCATGCTTGTTGGTTGGTTGGTTGTTTGGTTGGTTTGTTGTTTAACGCCGCACTCAGCAATATTCCAGCTATATGACGGCGGTCTGTAATATTCCGGCAATGTCAAGCTTTAACCCCACTGTCCCCGTCGCCTATACCAAGAAAGATAAAATATTAAAGGGCGCCTTCGATGTATTTCATTTGACAACAAGTTAGTTGCCTTTTACGACAAGCATAGTCACCTTTTACGGCAAGCATGGGTTGCTGAAGACCTATTCTACCCCGGAATCTTCACGGGTCCCATGCTTGTCGTAAGAGGCTACTAACGGGATCGGGTGGTCAGGCTCGCTGACTTGGTTGACGCATGTCATCGATCCCAATTCCGTGGATCGATGTTCATGATATTAATCACTCGATTGTCTGGTCCAGACTCGATAATTTACAAACCGCCGTCATATAGCTGGATTATTGCTGAGTGCGGCGTTAAACAGCAAACAAACAAACTTGTTGACAAATAAAATACATCGAAGGCGCCCTTTAATATTTTATCTTTCTTGGTATAGGCGACGGGGACAGTGGGATTAAAGCTTGACATTGCCGGAATATTGCTAAAGCGGCGTAAAATTATATTCACTAACTCAGTATGGCAACGGGGGCGTTGATACCGTGTTTCGTATGAAATGACATATCCTTGTCACAAGCTAAATTATGTTTGTTTGTTTAACGCCTCGATCAGCAATATTTCAGCTATATGACGTTGACCTGTAAATATGCCTGTAAATAGGCCTTCAGCAACCCATGCTTGTCGTAAGATGCGACGAACGGGATCGTGTGGTTGATGCATGTCATTGATCCCAATTGCGTGGATCGATGCTCGTGATATTAATCACTGGATTGTGTGGTCCAGGCTCGATTATTTACACACCGCCGTGTTATTGTTATTAACGAGGTTCTGTTACTGGACTTCCCTCCGTGGCTGAATCAATGACATGTATAACAGTCTACCTGATGACAAGACTTGTGAAGATCCGGGACAGAATAGGTCTTGCGCAACCAAGCAAGCCGTTAAAGGCGACTATGCTTGCCGTAAAAGGCGACTAACGAGATCGGGTGGTCAGGCTCGCTGACTTGGTTGATGCATGTCATCGATCCCAATTGCGTGGATCGATGCCCATGACCATGCCCACTGGATTGTCTGGTCCAGATTCGATTATTTACAGACTGCTGTAATATAGCTGGACTATTGCTGAGTGCGGCGTAAAACAACAAACAAACAAACCAACCAACCAATTGCGTGGATCGATGCTCATGATGTCAATCACTGGATAGTCTGGTCCAGACTCGATTATTTACAGACCGTCGTCTTATAGCTGGAATATTGCTGAGTGCGGCGTTAAACAACAAAAAAAAAAAAAATTCTATAGGTACGTAGGTACCAGTTCTATCATGCAATACCTATGGAAAGGATATAATTATGACCAGTTGTGTAATAGTACACAACGAAAGGAGCATCAAGAAAACTTGATTTTATTTAATGTCATATGCACGCCCTTTATATTGTAGGTGGTAATGCTGGCACGATATCAATTGTCGTTGTTGCTGTAATTGCCGGCGTTGGCCTTGTCGTTACTGCCATTGTCCTGCAATTGAGAAAACAACGTGAGTGCCTATCTTTTTCTTATGACTTATCACCTTATACTGATACGATTTTCCTGTTATTTTGTAACATACATTCTAGCGTGATTTTGTAAATACTTTAATGTGATTGGTCGGTCAAACAGAGGTTTCAAATCACAATTCCATGTTCTGATTGTAGCAGCTGATATAATGCCTGGTGTAATGTGTGTTTGTTTCGAAGTCTTAAAGGTTTTACATTTTGTTTTCTAGGGTAAGGTTTCTGTACCATGAAACTAGGAACATTTTATTTTCACAAACGTAAACGTATAACAAGATTCCAGTAAAGGGGAACATTATGATGGAAACTAATGTCATGATATTGTGAGACCAAAGTAGTCATTAAGTGTAATTTTATTACAAACCACCATATAAACATTGAATGTTACATCTTCCCATTTCTTCTTCAGAACACCGATGTCCAGTTGCAGCCAGGTCACATGTGTGTGAGACTGATGAGGCAATGCCGGATGAACATTACAGCCAAATAGAAATTAGAAACGAGACGAAATGAAAATAGAATGAAAGAACAATTAAAAATAATCCTTGTGAATCCTTTCGATATTCCCACAATGACGAAACAACATCCTCGGCCCATCCGCAGCAGATGTCCACATGTTACGCTTGCTTTTTGTTTATTTGTTTGTTTTTGTTTTTATTGTTCAACGCCGCAGCCAGCAATATTCTCAGCATAAATGACAAAGGTTTGTAAGTAATCGAGCTGGACCAGACAATCCGCTGATTGACAACCTAGGCATCGATCTACGCAATTGGGATACGACGAAATGTAACAACCAAACCACCCGATCCCGATAAGCATAGTCGCCCCTACAAGTAAGGGTTGCTGAAGACCTGTTCTAACCAAGATCTTCACGCGTGCACTGTGCTGGTAAATAGATTGTATAATGTAATGTTATGTACATAGAAACCTTTGACCATTGGAACTGCGGGTTAGGGCAGATTTTCAGCAACCTGTTTGTCGTCAAAAAGGACTTGGTTGATTGCGTGTCAACGTACTCTGCGGTCTCGAGTCCTTGCACGTCACTGGATTGTGTGGTCCACACACACGCTTATTTACAAGTCTCCGTCATTCAGCTGCAATATTGCTGGAAACACCTTTGCGGGACAGACATTCGTTTTATTATATTAACAGCTATACATGACGTCAAGCTTCAGATATGTTCGTATTTTGCATTTTTGTAAATGCTATCAGAATATATGGTTCATTAAAGAATAAATACTTTTTAGAATGGAATTATAAATTTGATCATCCTGGTCATTCTTGGGACCCGTTAAGATCCGGGGTAGAATAGGTCTTCAGCGACCCATGCTTGTCGTTTAAGGCAACTATGCTTGTCATAAGATGCAACTAACGGGATCAGGTAGTCTGACTCGCTGACTTGGTTGATGCATGTCATCGTATCCCAATTGCGTTGATCGATATTCATGATGTCAATCACTCGATTGTCCGGTCCAGACTCGATTATTTTTATACCGCAGTCATATAGCTGGAATACTGCTGAATGCGGCGTTAATCAACAAATAATTAAAATAAGTAAATGACGTCAAAGAACAGAAGGGGTGTGCCCTTCCCCAGCATCTGCCTATAGCATTTGCCGCATTTGCCGCATTTGCCTTTGGGAATTGAAACCATTCCGTGGTCTGAAAAGGATGACATGTGGTATCCAGTATGTTATTGTTATAAGGTTAAAATGCGTCTCAAGAACATTAGAAAATGGTAACAAATTAAACCATTTATAGCTGCGATGATGAGTTGCATTAGATATACAAAGTTTGTGACAGAGAACATTTAGATCGAAAGGATTTAATAGAGAAAAGACATTTCACATTTAGCATTGGATTGGTTCCATGTTATCGTCGATTAATTAATGAAATAAGGTAAGCAGACAGGTAAGATACTTTTCATTTGTAGCATTCGGAATGAGTCACAAAGTCAATAGAGAGATGATCAATCTCGCACGTAGGCTTCGGTATTTGTCCGATGACGACACACATGAGTTCATGGTCAGATCTAACTTTTAACGAATGAAATTGAGGTATTGTGACAAAGACAGGCCAGTCCCGAACACTATAAAATAGTATATAATACTTTTAACAGTAGGAGAGGAGAGCGTGGTTTGCAATCGATAATGTCGAATCCCGATCGATCTAGTTCTCCCCAGTTAGTGACGAGCCAGGCCGGTCTGATCCTGTCCTGTATTGAAAGATGGGCTGAGAGTAAGTAAAACAATGCACGTATAAAGCTGGTGTTGCGTTTCTTTTTAATGCGACTATGAATGCTGATAGAGACAACTTGGAGTAAACGTCTTTAGACCAATCACTCCTTGACGGAGCTGAACCGATGCTGACAAGGTGAGTTGCAAGAGTCATGGCCCAACTGACCATGATGACCAGGAACGGCAATACTTTCAGAAACTGTAGTTGGGTCGAACTTGGCACCCGAAAGCAAATTTGACGTTATGATGAAGCTGCATACAAGGCGATCCAGTGAGGCCTTTGAACAACAGAGTAAGTGAGTGAGTGAGTTGGGTTTAATGCCGCTTTTAACCGTATTCCAGTTATATCATGGCATGTCAGCTAATGTGGGAGGAAAGGCCGAAGTGATGCAGGTCTCAGACATTTACCACTTCGGTGAAACCCACGATCACGGGTATGGTGCTGACAAACCTTGAAACATAATTTGGCGAACCGGGATTCGAACTCTCAAACATAGGTTCCTGGCGTGTCCAAGGGACGCAACTCTGCACAGCGAATCACGGCGTCTTAGACGAGTGGGCCACCCATACATGTACGCTGAAATGAAATCAGTACCTAAGACAGGCCCTGCGTGCTTCTTTGCTTGAAAGTCTGCAGTTATCATTAGTATTACGTCGGCGTGGTAACTTATTGGTTAAATTACACACATATGTTCATTTCCACAGTCCCCGTCCCCCGCCGAAATTAAACCATACTCTTTCGAGCACTATTATTCGAGAGTACACAATGTGTTGTCCTGAGGTTTAACAGACTCGTTTGACTTGTCACCATGAAGTTCAAGTATCATTTCAACTTAAATATAACAAGAAAGTTAGATTTATAGTTCAGTAGTATAGGTAATGGGGGTCCTGGCTCACTACCCCATTCAAACGTAAGAATGAAAAAACAATAAAGTCTAGTGGTCAGCCATGCCATTTGAAAGATTTTCAAGGAATAAGAAACTGCTGTTCGAGGAGAACAAGTTTCTGGAGACTGTTTATCACCACAAGATAAGTGAAACAGATACTTTAATCTCCCCGTTGCCTGTTTCCTATTTTTCAGGAAACATTTCCTACATTTTGTTCTAAACATAACAACAAAGTAAACAACCAACACTATTTCTCAAAAAACATTTGATATAATATTCTGACTGTATCAGTAGCATGTGTTTATGAATCACAATCAAACAGTTATGATGTGACGTGTCCGCATTAAAAAAAAGTCAGACTAAGGCATTGCATCACACATCAGCGTCATAACAATATGTAGATACTTATACCACTCAAAGTTTGCTAGTGATCTCCACTTTTAAAGATAGTACGTCAAATTGGGTGCATCTCTTAAAATAGCCAAAGACACTATTGCCGAAGACTTGTTTAATGAACAAGACTCCGTTGTTATGTGAACCCAATGGCAAACAACAACATGTGACTAGTATATCAGTCAGACCACCCGTCCAAATAACAGTATCAGACAAAAACTGAAATGTAGAAAAATCACGAAAACAAAGTCACTGTCGAAGAAAACAATTCTCAATAGCGCGTATGTAAAGTTCTCTTAATACGCAATGTCAAGAATACTCTTGTGTTAAATGTGAAATGTCTTTTATCTACTAATTCCTTTCGATCTAAAACTTCTCTGTCACAAACTTTATATATCTAATGCAACTCATCATTGCAGCTATAAACGGTTTAATTTGTTACCATTTTCTAATGTTCTTGAGACGCATTTTAACCTTATAACAATAACATACTGGATACCACATGTCATCCTTTTGAGACCACGGAATGGTTTCAATTCCTAAGGGCAGATGCTGGGGAAGGACACACCCCTTCTGATCTGTGACGTCATTTACTTATTTTATTTATTTGATGTTTAACTCGGCATTCAGCAATATTCCAGCTATATGACAGCGGTATATATATAAAATCGAGTCTGGACCAGACAATCCAGTGATTGACACCATGAGCATCGATCCACGCAATTGGGGCACGATGACATGCATCAACCAAGTCAGCGAGTCTGACCATCAGATCCCGTTAGTCGCCTCTTGCGGGATCGGGTGGTCAGGCTCGCTGACTTGGTTGATGCATTTCGTCGTATCCCAATTGCGAAGATCGATGCTGAGGTTGTCAATCAGCGGATTGTCTTGTCCAGCTCGATCACTTACAGCCCGCTGACATTTATGCTGAGTATATTGCTGAGTGAGGCGTTGAACAACAAACAAACAAACAAAGAAGCAAGCATAATATGTGGACATCTGCTGGGGATGGGCCCAGTATGTTTCGTCATTATGGGAATATCGAAAGGAATCACAAGGATTATTTTTAATTGTTCTTTCAAATGATTCTATTTTTCACTTCGGCTCGTTTCTACTTTTGATTTGGCTGTAATATTCATCAGACATTGTCTTATCCGCCTCACACACACGTGACCTGGTGGCAACTGGACGTCGGTGATCTGAAGAAGAAATGGTAAGACAATACCATCCAATATTTATATTTTGGTTTGTAATTGAATAAAATTACCCTTAATGACTACTTTGGTTTCACAATAGCATGATATTAGTTTCCATCATAATGTTCCCCTTTACTGGAATCTTGTTATACGTTTACGTTTGTGAAAACATTTTTTTCCTAGTTTCATGGTACAGAAACCTTACCCTAGAAAACAACATGTAAAACCTTTTAAAACAAACACACATCCCAACAGACATATAACAGCTGCTACAATCAAAACATGGAATTGTGATTTGAAACCTCTGTTTGACCCTCCAATCACAATAAAGTATTCACAAAATCAAACTAGAAAAAAATAGGCACTCACGTTGTTTTCTCAATTGCAGGACGATGGCAGTAACGACAAAGCCAACGCCGGCAACTACAGCAATGACGACAATTGATATCGTGCCAGCATTACCACCTACAATATAAAGGGCGTGCATATGACATGACATAAAATTATGTTTTCTTGATGCTCCTGTCGTTGTGTACTGTTACACAACTGGTCATTATTGTATCCTTTCTATAGGTATTGCATGATAGAACTGGTACCTACGTACCTATAGAACTTTTTTTGTTTTGTTTGTTTGTTGTTTAACGCCGCACTCAGCAATATTCCAGCTATAAGACGACGGTCTGTAAATAATCGAGTCTGGACCAGACTATCCAGTGATTGACATCATGAGCATCGATCCACGCAATTGGTTGGTTGGTTTGTTTGTGTGTTTGTTGTTTTACGCCGCACTCAGCAATAGTCCAGCTATATGACAGCAGTCTGTAAATAATCGAATCTGGACCAGACAATCCAGTGGGCATGGTCATAGGCATCGATCCACACAATTGGGATCGATGACATGCATCAACCAAGTCAGCGAGCCTCACCACCCGATCCCGTTAGTCGCCTTTTACGGCAAGCATAGTCGCCTTTAACGGCTTGCTTGGTTGCGCAAGACCTATTCTGTCCCGGATCTTCATAAGTCTTGTCATCAGGTAGACTGTTATACATTTCATTGATTCATCCACGGACGGAAGTCCAGAAACAGACCAAAACAACCAAGTGAACCTCGTTAAATAACCGCATATCCACGACAATGATCGTTACAAAAATACCTCAATACACAAAGCCGCTGAGTGTGAAGTTGTTGTATATAACTTAGTTTTCACACAATACATGTGTAGTTCTAAATGTCTTGTTTCACGGCGGGTGGGGTTTGAAACTACTTAATCGGGATGACCCATTTCCTTATCTCCAATACCCACAGGCCATACATGTATCCAACATTTCCCTCTTGAACAACTAGATTCTTCCTTCTTGTGCACATGATAGATTTAGAGTGAGTGAGTGATTCAGGTTTAACGCCGCTTGTAACAGTATTCCAGTTATAACACGGCGTATCAGCTTAATGTGGGAGGAAAGCCCGGAGTGATGCAGGTCTCAGGCGTTTACCACTTCGGTGTAACCAACGAGCATGGGTATGGTGCTGACAAACCTAGACAC